CTCTTATTACAATGTCTGGCACATAATAATGCCTAGTAAATATTTTTTTAATGAATCCTACCAATATTTTTGTGAACTTGCCCAGATTGAGATTGGGCTCTGAGCCCCTTCTCTTTGAATTATAGTCTGGATTAAGGGTTTGTCTCCTTTTTCAGCCCCGACCTTAAAGCAACTATATTTCTGGCATCCCATAGGGATGGTTTTCCCCTCTATATCAAGTCATTCTCGCCAGTAGTGTCAGGAGATCTCAGACTGAGGTGACTGTCTAGTATCATCAGCCAGTCACACTTAGCAGTTATAATTCAAGGGCTTTGACTGGGTCTTCAGAGATGAACCAGAACTGGTCTGGACTTTCGGGAGCTGCCCTACAATGGTTGATGATAACTCAAGACCAAGCATTTCAGTTAGAAACTTGTCCGTTTTAGCAAATCAGTTGACTTCAATCATCATTGGTATTGAGAGTGTAGGGAGTAAATGAAGAGTAAAGAGCCGTGTGCACACTCATCTTGCTGGGCCGTTTTGGAAGTGCCTTTATAGAGTCTGTTAATATATTATGACCCTAACTAACATTCCATGTGTGGAGTTATCTTACACCATGATAGCAGCTTTGGGGGCAGAGGAGAGAAGGGGGAATTGTTTTAATTTCAGAAAACCCTGCACACCGATATTATTTTTTAAAGTCACTCTTTAGTTAACATTAAGAATAAATCTGCATTTCCATCAACACTGTGGTTAAATGCTCTTTCAGGAAGCAGGAGTAATGCAACAAATGACTAAAATATGTGAAAATAATCTTTCTTTAGCCTATTGGTGCTTTTTACTAATGACAAGAGGTCAATTTTTCCCCTTATAATGTGTGTACATACTGTTAGCTCTAACACTGATTGCTAAGTAGTTAACAATAAATTGATTTCAGTTTAACTAAGGGCACTTCAGGAAAGCAATGGTCTGCATGAGAAAAATGTTCATTACATTTAATCCTAGACACACACATAAATTAGCAGCAAGCTTCTCCTCCTGATGTCAAATGAATCATACATATTGGAAAAAGACCTATTGCTTGCTGTATTGCACATACTAAAAGCGTAGTTGGTCTCCATTCTCAAACTTCAGTGTGACCTTGCAGAATTAAGCCTTCATAAGAAAACAAACCTTACCCTAAGGAAGAGTGAGAGTTAGGTAATTTAGAACTGATGAAAGATATTTCCAAGTGGATTCTTAAAATTTTATACCATTCATTAATAGCTTTGTCTTCCCTCTGTGCTTGTTAATTTTATGTTTGAGACATATGTCTTCACTTAACAGTGGAATCTCTACAGGATCCAGTCATGTGTGTGTTGGTAACCATCACCTTCACCTTTTAAACTGCTTTATGGCATGGAAAACTTTTTAAAGGATTCAGTAGTTGTGCTTTTTTAATGGTATTTCCTATCTAGGTTGCTGACTACTATAACCTGATGCTTACATTTATCAGTTTTATTATTTTAGAAACATTATATGATCTCTGGTTGATCATATAATGATCGAACGAGATGGTCATATATAAAATATATCAGCATATAACTTTTCCCACAAGTGTTAGAATATAGGTTATCTTTCTGTTTCGGGATAGTACTGTTTATCAAACTAAATGTTTAAACTCTGAGTTAATTTCTAATCCCCCAAAGACTGATTTACTCTAAAGGCATATCACCCAGGATGAAAAAATGGTGCTTACAAAACGTGTGATTAGGTAGTTCTTTTAAGATTTTTAGAGGGTTTTATGACAAATACAAAGGAAAAAAAATCATATCTAGAGTCCAAAAGCACTTGATCCTTGTATAATAGTTTTCAACATATTAGAGTGAAAGTAAAATTATTTCCTTTAAGTAACACTGAGTGAAGGTGAGACTCATAGCTGAAGGTCTAAAATGGTGCTTTTTTGGATTTGTTAAGTAGAAGAACTGTGGATCACTTTGTCCTGTGTCTTTCAGGCAGGCTGTGAATAGCAATTTCTTTCTGCAAAGGCTGAGTGGATGTAACAGGCATTTTATAGAGCCAAGGACTCCTTGCAGAGAAAGACTAGTATACCTTGGGTTTTAAATGAAGGAGATCATTAGACAGGCTGACAGTAGATTTGTTTTTTATGATAAATTATTATGATTTAAAAAAATTTTTATAGAGATGGGGTCTTTTTATGTTGCTTAAGCTGGTCTTGAACTCCTGGCATCCTGGCTTGGGCTCCCTACGTGCTGGGATTACAGGTATGAGCCACCACGTCCAGGCTAAAAAAATTACTCTTGATTTGCTTTTAAATAGTTGTAAGCCTTTCATCCGTATACATTTGAATGAATCTTTTTTAAAAAATTAAGACAATGATGATAAACGTAAGAAGTTGACTTACATACTCTTAAATTTGTGTGTAAGAGGTATTTCTTGAAATTTGTTGAAACCAAATAGAATTATTTCCTATTTAAGAAATTGCATTAATAGAACTAAACATATTTTAGAAAATACCTTAACACAGGCATGATGAGAATTCAGCTATCTGAAAATTTGTAGTGTTCTATTTAAATATAACACTTTCAAATTTATCCACTTAACAAAAAAACACTTGAATCCTGAATTTTTTGAAATTAAAAACAAAAAGAAAACCATTTTCAGATTTTCTTCCTCTCTTTAATAATTTCTCCAAATGAATGGATTAAAACAAGTTTCCAGTGATTTAAAAACAAATTCTGATGGGTTTTGTTAATGTTCTTTTTACAGTTTGCCTGTTCTTTCAAATGTGTTTCATAATTTGGTTTTAGAATATTCAATATGTTCAGTGAAAATTCTCAACTAGTATTTTAGAAGATTTCATGTGATCTGTTGAAAGAGGTCGCCTGGAACCTTGATTTAATAGCATATGCCCACTAGTATCTTCTATTAAAAAGATTTTCATTGTTTAGGTGTTCTGTCCCTTTTGACCTTTCACAAGGACCTTGTTATTTAAGTAATAGTAGAAAACTGAGCCCTCTTCTTCTGGATGCACTTCTTGAGATCTCTGTAACCTTGAAATAAAGTAAGGGATCTCATATTTGGTGAAGTGGCACAACTTCATCTAGGCACAAAGGAGTAAAGAACTTTTTGATGACATTTTAGTTTCTAGAAAGTTAGGCCCTTCACTTTCTCATGGACTTCTGAGAACTTCTCGTGAAGGATGTGCCAAATGTCAGATGTCTCAGGAAAATACGTTTCACAGACTGGAAAAAAATGTTGAAGAGCTGTCCTTAATGGACCCTGATGAAAGAAGTTATAGACATTGATCTCCCTGCTATCATCTGTCGTGAATCATGTAAGGAGCATAAAGGCCAAAACAATAAGGAGTTGCAGTCTACTTTTTAAAGTAACCTTTCATTGTTGAGATGTGGAGAGGTAGGTAGTTCTACTGGGGAAGATTATTATGATCATATTTGCTTCATTCCTTTTTGTTAGCCCAGGTTTTTTTTCCTTTAGGAATTTCTAGATTAGGGTAGGGAAGGTAAAAGTATTAGTTGACGTTTATTGTTTCCTCATTTGAGAGTTAGGGCATAAAATAGTTCATAGGATGCAGATTCATATTAAACTTCTGTAACTTTCAGACAGGAGTAACCTTTCTTTTTCCCTCAGCCCAGAGAGCATGGGACTTCTTGACCCAGCAACCAGTGATGGGCGAGTTATTTTCTTCTTACCTTGGCAAAAGATGACTATCGCTGGTACTACTGATACTCCAACGGATATTACAAACCATCCCATTCCTTCGGAGGAAGATATCAACTTCATTTTGAATGAAGTGCGTAATTACCTGAGTTGCGATGTTGAAGGTAAGTGAAGCATTCCTTTAAGTTTGTCCGTTCGCTTTCCTGTCTCAGACCCTTCCGGCACTCACTGGGTAACTGCCCCGTCTCCAGTCTGACTCATTTTCACACATGGTGTACTGGAGCTATTCCTTGCTGCCCACTGCTTCTTGAAGTTTTATGAGGCCCAAATTCTAACACAACAGAAAGAAATTGCCTTTTTTCTTTTGCTTTCCGCATCCACATGAAACTCGTGCAGTCCTTTCTGATCCTTTCTAATGGCAAGGTCAGAGTACCACACTTGAGCTCTGAGCACTCCTGCTCTTCCAGAAGAGGTTGGAATATTTACATCACAGTTAAATTTCTACACCTTGGGAGAGTCTGATTTATAGATAGAGGATTTCCACAGGAAATAATTAAACAAAGAAATGAGATGCTAGAGTTGTATGTTCTAAGATGCTTAATGGTCTGTTATTACATGGATGGTATGGTGTTGACTTGTAGATTTAGCAAAGAGGGACAAGTATGCTTGTTTTAATGGAAAAAACAAACAAATTTTATTTTGTTATTCTTATAGAGACTTGTTAACTTGGATGCCATGGCATTTTCTCCAAGGAACTTACCCAGTGATTGTGATATTTTTTTTCTATCTAGGCTAGCCCTAGAAGTTCCCCAACATCCTTTTGGGTTTCCTATCTTGATTAATAGTGTACTATCCATCTAGTCACTCACACTAGAAACGGCATAATCATCTTTGGTGGTTCTCTCTTTTTCCGTATGCAGCGTAATTCCTACCTATGAGTACTCTGAACACTGTGCAGATCCCTGACCGTGTAGATTGCCCTGGTTCACACCTGTGTCGTTTCTCACTTGAGCAGTTGCATCAGCCCCCCAGCGGGCCTCCCAGCTCTGGTCTCTATTCCCATCCAGTCTAAACCTTCCATCAGAACTTGCTTCCTAAATTACAGCTTGGACCATCATTTCCCTGAACAAAAATGCCCCCCCCCCAATGTCTCCTCATTGACTTTAGGAAAAATTCTAAACTCTCTTACACATAGAACATAAGGCTTTTCACAACTGGTCTTTGCACATTTATATTCCACTACCTCCCCTTCCCGCATTCCGTGGTCTAATTATCTTGTATTACTTATCATTTCCCAATCAGATCATGCAATTTTAAACCTCCATGCCTTGTTTAGGTTGAAGCCTTGCTCTGGGATGCCTTTTCTTTCCAGCATCATATCTTGGCAAAATATTTGTACTTCAGAAACTACCTGTCCACAGGATGTTGGTGATACTGCCTGTATATGTCAACATTGTATGATAGGTAATAGTCTAAGGTGTTAGGTCAACTCACATACCCACTAGAGTTTCTAGAGGGTATGAAGTCTTCATATAGTATTTAGCAACACGTTTATTAAATGTGGGCTTCTATCTGGACCTTAAGATCAGAAAATTTAGATTTTTGGTGCATGATACCAAATTAATTTAAGAGCTGAGGGCTCTAGGTTGCTAGTTTCCAAAATCTTAAAAATCCTTGGCAGGAAAGATGAGAAATCTAACTGCTTATGCTGCGGAGAAGCTGGATGTGCTGGTGTGGGTTCTGGAAGGCTGCTGTGCCCATGTTGTAGGTGGGAGTCCCCACCAGTGAAATCAGCCCTGGGCTATCACAGAGACTGGGTCATTTTCATTCTGCCTATAAATAAATAAATGGAAGATTTGGCAATACCTGGTTGGTCCAAAAAGGTCTTTTCAATTAACGCACATTTGCACAGTCAGGATATTTGTGAAACTAACAGAGTTATTATTAATTCTGATGTTTGCTAAAGTGGTGAAAATTCACATCTAAACCTTGCAAATTGGCCCTTCTCCTGGTGGTCTGGGAATATTTTGAGATTAAGGGTTTTCCAGGTAGCAAATATCCGGGGTAAAAGCAGAAGTGACAACTCTTTCTTAGGCTTTATTTATTTCCCTGTATGTGCCATCATTCACACCTTTCCCATTTATAAACTTGTCCTTTTAAGAATGATTAAGAATGAATCTTTATAGTTTCTTTTCATTCAGATTTCTCATTGACTAAAGGCCTTCCTATTAAGGAATTGATTTGATAAATGAATATCACTTAGCTAAAGTAGGTCTGTATCTTTAAGTGAGGACATTTAAATTTGTTTTTTTCCCCAAGAAATATTGGTGAATCTCAATTTTCTCTTCTATACTGGTGAAATGTGAGAGAATTTCCATTTCAGGCACTATGCCATCATTTGATTACGTGTTGTTGATAAATGTGTTTTTAATATTTATATTTGTATGCTTAATTTTTAAATACTCTATCATTACTGAATATTTAATGCTAAACATATTGCCTATATTATCTTTTTGATTACTTTTGACAACTCTGCAGTGTTTATCTTATAAGTCCCACTTCATAGTTGAAGAAACTGAGGCCCAGCAACGTTAAGCTTTTTGCCTGTAACTAATTAGCTTTGGAGCCATAATGTGAGTATAAGTAATCTGGCTCTAATACTTGTGCTTTTAAATCCTATGCAGTACTCTCATTGGTAGTTCTGAGTTTCATGATGTGATGTTATATCCACCAGAGAATGGATTAAGTTTATCAATTCATTTCATGAAAACTGCTAGACACCTTTAGAATGACAATGACCTTTGCTCTCCACTAGCCTTATTTGGATTTGAATGTTAAACTAGAAGAGATTTCATATCTCGTAACTAATCCCTTGGGCCAACTAGTCTTCTTTACAGATTTAAAAATTAAAAAGTTTGATTTAGATCCTAAAGTAATAGTTTTATAATGTTTTACATTCACCAGCATTGAAATAATCATTCTAAAAGGATTTATTAAATGGATAAGTAAAATTCCAACAACAGTTTCTGAGCCTCCCCAAATGGCTATATCCTTAAGAAAAAAAAAAAAAGTGTCAAATCTTAACACTCCATGCTGTTCACAGCAGCTGCCACACTTCTGCAAAATGCGTCAGAACAATTCTGAAAAGCATTTTGCCTGTTGGGAATAAGACCATGTCTTCTTTTACAATTTAGAAAGCTTTCCATTCACAGGCTGAATTTTCTAGATTACTTGTTTGTTCTTTTCTGAAATGGGTAATTGATAGTTCTGCAGTTCGTATCGAGTTAGGAAGAAAAATGATCTTTTGAAAAATGTATCATTAAGTCTGCTGTGTAGAGGTTAATCAGAAGGATGCAGTGGCAAAACTAAGCCGTGACTTAACGGGATTGAGAGAGACAGAAGATTTGCTGAGTGCTTTATCCACGTAGTTTTTCTGGAGTGCTTCTCTAGGCAGTTTCTTCCCTTGTACACAGGTTTTCACATATGCAATTAGTAGTGTTTATAGATTGCCTCTTATTCAATTAACAACTGAGCTGGCCATATCAACTCACTGCAGACCTGCCTTTTCACTGCCAGAGATTGTACCAGGGTTATCAACTTACACAGGCTTGGATGTCTTCCAGCTGTTTAATTATGGTGTCACGCGCTTTGCTTTTTCTAGTTTCATTAGTTTATAAATGTAAAATGGTATCTTATTTCTGTGATTAACACTTCATTTCAGCAGGTTAAACATGCTGGTAGAGAAGTATTGATTTCTGACACTATTTCCCCTGTGTTCATTTAGATATTTTCACGTGCATTTTATTGATTTTTTTTGAAAGTGGCAAACATGAGAAAGAACACCCCAAAATGTATCCCTAAATAACTAATGTGAAGCAGACCACACGTTTAGCTCTTAATTGTCACTTCCTGTGGGTTTCATTTTCTATTAATTTTTAAAACAAACACTTGTCTTGCCAAGTATGTAAGAGTAAAAATGTTACAGTTTGAAACAATCACATCATACTTAATTTTTTTCAATCAGCTGTGAAAATTGTCTATTCAACTTTACTGTTTATATTTTACCCTTAATATATTACATATACTGAAACATGAATGAGTTATTTATCAGGGATATAATAAAAATAATTTTTAAACATGACGGTAGAGGACTTTTTTACTTTCTCTCTACCTTTTGAAAATATTGCAAAGTGCTTTTAGACACACTGGAGGTAAACCGTGGTCCCCCTCTCAATCTGGAAATTGGCACCTAAAAAAATTAACTGGGTACTATCTGGGGGTGACACTCTAATACGTGGTCTTTAATAATGGATTTTTTGCAACTTTATTGAATAATAGTTTTGTTTCCTTTCATTCTGTGATATTTAAATCATTCACTTATTTTGGAAAGTAGTATCCAATTATTAAATACATAGTCATTAGAAACCTATATAAAGCCTAGCACAGGCGTTCTCAAACTATGGCCTGCCTAGGACATTTATCCGGTTCGCTGGGTGTTTTTGCCGCCGCTGCCTGTCCTGCTTAGCAGCCTACTTGTCCCACGGCCCACAGTTTAGCCCTCCAGCAGTCTGAGGGGCAGTGAACTGACCCCCTGTTTAAAAAGTTTGAGGACTCTTGGCCTAGCATATGCCTCAGAGGCCCAAGTATTCTTGCTTTTGATTTTGTAATATCAGCTTATAATTTGATATAAAAATTCAGAGACTGCTTAAATTTACTTAATATTTAGTAACAATATGTGACCCTTTACTCAATGTAATATTTAGGGTATTGAGAAATATTTGAATTGACATTGCTAGAGGCTTTCAACATGGTGAGGAAGAGATGAACAGTAATGAAATCTTGTTTAGCTCTTCTGGCAGTTTGAGAGCAGGTGAGCCTTTGAGCTCTAAAGCATAGAAACCCTGGGTTATGTTATTTTCTTCTCATGTTATACCACTGAGAATGAAAGTAGGTAAATCTTAACTGCTGCTCTTGGCCACAACCTGTGTGATAGACCAGTTTCAGGGTAAGAACTTGAGGCTAGAAGCACTTAAGTAAAAATATGCTTTGTTTCTGTGAACTCATGAGATTAGTAAGGGGTAGACCGGTGGAAATGATGCATTTGGAACATGGATGACAATAAAGTGTTTGGGGGCCATCCCAGGACATTCATTCTCATGAGCAA